CCCCCCCCGGTTTGTCCTTCCTGTAAAACTTGACTCCCTGTAACTGTACTGGTTGAGATTTTTCTGAATTTTGAATTTTGCTACTTTATTGGTTTTATATTGCTACTTTATTGGTTTTAATTGTTTGTTAACAGTCCCTTCTGTTGAAAGACATTAATTAAATCTCACCACTAGTAAGAAGGGAGATTGTGTGTGTGTGTGATCTCTGTGGCACTATGTAGCACAGTTCTTTACGATCTATATTCTGCTGTCTTCTGTTGTTTGGAAGTTCTCAGCTTCACTGTTTTTAATAAATATTTAACTAACATATAATAAAAAAAATCCCCTATATTTAAAAAAAAAAATCCTTTAGTTGTAATTACTCATGCTCTTCCTTCACCTTCCACTTTGGAGTTGGAATAACTGCATCTGTTGCCTGAGTCTGCTTAGGCAAAGGGTAAAATTTAACTAGTTGTCTTTTGGGTTTATATCCGTCATCTCCATGGAGATGAAGGAAGTAGCTTACATGTACTGTGAGGCTAGGGAATAAACAAGTAGGTCTGAAAATGCATTGGACGTTTTTCTCTATAAATAGCTGATAATTAACTGAGGAACCATTTAGAGCATGGTTTCCCAACAACCTGTTTTAAAGTCACTTATTAGTTTAGGACACAGGCGGTGCTCAGTGCAGAGGTAACAGACTGGGTCCTCCTGGTGACACTGGTTATAATAGCTGGATTGGTGCAGTCTGTGATGCAGTGGCATTTAAAAAGTAAATTACCTGGGGGAAGCCAAGAAGATTCTTTGAAAGTTTGGGGTGGGGTTTTTTGTTGTTGTGTTTTGGTTTTGGTTTTTTTTTTTCCCTGGGGGAGCTTCTACATGCACAGATAGGAGAGGAACAGTAAATTAAAATGGCCTCTTTCCTAATAATTTTTTGTTTTGTCTCTTAGTTTCCATCAGTGCTGAACAGTCATGGCCCATTTACTCTGTCTGGACTGGATGGACCCTCTACCCCTGGCCCATTTTCCCCTGATCTGCAGAAGACATAGCACATGAACTCATGGAAAGGACATATTGGCAAGCAAGGGAAAGATAGGACACTTATATTTAACCAAGTTTTTTAAATGAGCAATTTATAATTCCACAGAGATTATCAACAATCATAGTTTTTGCCATTCCCAAATAAAATGCCTTTTTTGCAAAATTCCCTTTTTTGAAGACCCAGGTTGGGAATGTATATGCAAACGCCTTAATAGGAGCTGAAGCTCCAGTCTCTTCTCTTCCCTCCTTGGTTTGGAAGACTTCACTATGGTTAAAGGGAGTTTTGGTTGATGTTGCAGTAACTGAGTCTGCACTGATTGCAGTAAACGGTATCAGAGAAGTCTTTTCTCTGTGACTCTTGGAAAAACCCTCTGTTCTTCTGCTTCCTGTGCTTGGCAAGAAGAAATCTAATCATGATCGAAGCTGGCATTCCAGGAAATGCTTGGGAAAGGGGTGTGTGCATCGGCTTTGCCTTGGGGCCTGATAACTTCTGCAGCAACAAAACAGCCCACGTCTTTTCTGCTGTAAAAACATCTTGCCTTTTTGCAGGGAGAAATTTTCAAGGAATATTCAATGATTGTGTTACTGAGATACGGACAATTTTTGAATGGCATTGTATACCGACAGTCCAGCCCCTTGGAGAAGTAGTCTGGCTAGCTTCTGGATGCTTCCCTGCCCTCCCTTCGGTAAGGAGGCAAGGTCTGGAGACGAATGGTGGGATTAGTTCCTTTCAGTTCTCAGAAAGTTTGAATGCTGAAGTCCAAACATTTCTTGTGCCAGAGACCTGTTACAAAGCCTGTAATCTCACTGCTAGAGGACTAGCAGGATGGTGGATTTTACATGAGGTTTTGAGGGTGTGTCTGCATTTGGTGAGGTTGCTGCCTGATGCTAGAGTTTCAGACCCAAGCAGTGGGTGAGAACACTAACGTCTGAGCATTAACGTTACTGCTCTTCTCCCACAGTTGAAGTGGAGAAGCTCCTCTTCTACCAGCTCTTATCTCAAGTTTTGCTTTAGATCTATTGCTTTTTTTATTTGAGGAAGCACTCAGACCCAAAAGAAGTTAGGCTCAGTGTGTACAGCTAGCTGAGAGGGGTACCACGGCGTATCAATCTTACTGTAAATTTGTGCTTGCGTTGCTTTTCTTGGTGGCCATGTGTGTGTATGGATTAATACGAGATTAGTTTCCAGAGCCATTTGAAACACTGATGAAATGAAATTTGTAGTTACGTTTTTACAGCTCAGGAGGCCTTTTAAGAGAACTGAGGAATGGAAGAAGAGAGATTCTCCTCTCACGCCCCCTCAGAGGCTGGATGTCTTGGTCTGTTGGTGCTGGTGCTGTGCCCTTCCACTTTGGGCATCTGATGTCAGGCAGCAACTTCTGTTTGCTACTATGTACGTTGAGTTGGTGACGTAAAATAATCTCCATAAAATGCCCTCTAGAAAACAGATGGAGACCATCTCTTTCCTTTGGCATCCTCAGTGGCTGTCTTCAGAGTTTTAACGAGCAGAGGAAGATTGTACCTTTACAGCAAGAGGAGCTGACAGTGTACGCTGTATATATTGCACCTGTCTTACGGATAAGTGGTGAACTCGAGCTTTCCAGAGTTTTCCTTTTGCCACTTTCGCAGACTCTGAATTCACTTTAAAGCGTATGACAATACCCAAGACTTAATTTACTGCAGCGGCGTTATCTTTCTATATTCTAGCATTGAAATATGTAAACCACTTAGAATGTTCCTGACATGACACCTGAGACAGGTGGGTGTAATGGAGTTGTTTTTTGGGCATTGTTCATCCAGAAAGTCCCCTGCCTGGTGGGAGGCGGGAGAAAAGAGTATGCCTGTCTTTAGGTGGAGATAGCAGGGAGTGAGCTCATGTAGTGAACTGTCTTCCTGTTCGGTTACGTCAGAGGCATAATACTGCTTCGCATTTTAGACATCAGCAGATGCAGGATAAAGTTCCTGTGCCAGCGGCTCTTAAAATGACAATGTGCAATATTGACCTTTTTTTTTTTTTTTTTTAAAATGCAGAAAGAAAGCTGCAGATTATAATTAAGAGCAGGCATCTGGAATTTTCTGGTTTGCATGATGGCTTATGAGTCTGCTCTAGAAAATATATATAGCTATATATAAATAGCAGCACTTTTAATGGTTGTTTTAGGTTGGCCAATTTTATGCCCACCAAGTGTGTGGACTTGAGAGCAACATTGCAGACTAGGATTAGAATTTTAAAATAATTAATGAGCACTAAAGACTTGCAATTTAATTGCTTCCCTTTCCTTGACCCCTATGGAGAAAAGCCAAGTTTATTTGTTTAAAAGTTGTGTATGTGCACACATGCACTTAATTTTTTGTAAACTGTATCACTTTCAGCATAGGTATGCAAGAGAACCAAATGCTAACATAGCTTGTCAGTTGTGCTTAGCGTAGTTTCATGCTCTTCTCCAGGTAGCTTCGTAAGGTTGCACTGCCAGAGCTGGTTGATGAGATACACATTCACCTTCGGGAATACCTTCTTCAGAGAAAGTTAATATGAAAACAGCCTGTATGTGTTGGTTTCAATCTGGTAATATCCAACTTCCTGACAGATAGCACTGAGAAGATGGTTGCTTTTGCTTCTTAAGCACCTGCCTAGGAAAATAGAAGTTCCAGATAGGATGACAATCTCAGGAGGCAGTTGGGAAAGCAACTTGAAAGGGGAGGTGGGAGAGGAGAGGCTTGCTCACCTTTTCTTCATGACAACTTTCAGGTCACTTAAGGTAATATTATCTTGTATATATGCTGCCTCATTAAACACACACTTACTCACAAGTATATAACAGCCAGCTTTTTTGGATCACATTCCTGACGGAGCACAGTGTCGCTGTGACTTCTTGGAGCTTGGTTATGTGAATTGCTGGTACCTTTACTAGCTCACTTCAGGAGCAGTTTGCAGCTCGTGGCAACTTGTTTTTTTTAGGGAAGGTGGGGGTTAGTATAGGCTCTCTTAATTATCACGTTAGCAGTCTGTAATATGGGTATAGTACTGTGTTGGTTTAAAAAAATAATAATGCAGTATTACAGAAACATTTTATTACTTTACAATTCATGTTGCTAAAGTAGCCATGGTATTGTTGAATGCTTGATAATATTTGCATTGGTTAATTCATAGATGGTGGTAGAATTAGACTGGATGAGCATGGAAGCTGAACATCTGTCCTGCTTCTGGAAATCTCTTTTACATGTCACTGCTGCTGTATAATAGTACTGCAGAGTTGAAAAGCTTGCACTGCTGTTGCTGTGTGTGCTATGTCTGGCTTTTTTTGAGATCCTGAACTGTCAGGATGCCACTAGCAACACGTGCTGCTAGCAGAAACAATCCGTGGAAAGCAGAAACGTGTTAATAATACCCTACGGTTATAGAACCATACTTGTTCTGTCTTACCTGTTTTCAGAGAATGTGATCCTAGTAATGGGGGTGATGGAGGAAAGCATTTTCTTTTTTTCTTAAGAGCAGCTTAAGTCTAGATCCTTGTTTCAGAAATTGGTCTTCAGCAGTGACGGCTGAATGTAATTCCTATGCACTGTCTTTGGCACATTCAAGTTGCATTTTGCAATAGGTCAGGAAGTGATAAAATTCCTTGAATTTGAGAATTCATTGTTTTAATTTAGAGCATCCTAAGACTTCAGTATCCATGCAATCTTTGGTATAATGGAGCGTGCATTATAATATGAAAGGTTTTGGCTGTTCAGTGGTTTGTTTGGGATAATTTTTCCCTCTGATACCTTTTCAAACCTCAGCTATCTAGCAAATAGATTCTTCTTGGTTTTTATAGTGTTCATTTTAACCACAGTGAAGGCTGCTTACGTGCATATCTTCCTTTACACAGCTTTTCAAAATGCAGTGAGATGCATTAATGTCAGATTCCCTCATGACTTCAACTTTCATGCGAGAACTTCTGCAGGTTGAGATCGGATGAAAGAGCTAGCCTAGCACATTGATGCAGTTTCTCAGGTGAGCACAGGCGCAGAGTTCTGATCCACTTCTGTAGCATTTTTCTAGCGCTGAGGCCAGAACCTACAGTTCTGACAGTTTGTTGGCTACCCATGGTTTATTCATGTATCTTTTAGTTACCTTTTGCTACTGTTTTATAGCATTTTGTATGTACTCATGTTTTACTATACAATTTAACCTCTTCCATTTTTAATGCATATTTGTTTACAAGACACATCTCAGTGTTGTATCAAGAGGCTATCTTGGTATTGTCAGCTATGAAAATAAACTACATCAGTAGTTAAGGAACATTGTCAAAGTTGACAGGTATTTTAAAACTTGATGTTTGAGTTTTGGGTGTCCATAACAATTTTGTTCTGTTTTGTTCCTTAGTTCTCCCGTGTAAGAAATACACGTACCTTCTGGCCTCTGAGGTCATGGGCGTGGATAGTTTATTTTGTCTTAATAATCATGGAGCACGGTATTGCAAACAAACAGCCCGAGCCCCACAGGATCTTACACTTGGCAGATAAGTTGAAAATCCATTAGAATTGCAATCATGTTGCTTAGAAGCTATTCGGGATGTTTTAATAAGGTATAGTATGTCTTGCCTTAAACAGGAATTTTTATGGTTTGATTTGAATTTAATTAAACAGTAATTGGCAAAGGCTGCTGTTTAGTCTGAACAGTATTAGCAAATCTGCTTAATGTGGAAGCCTTTGGCTATTGCCATCAAGTTGAGTGGTGGTTAATATGTGACGTGCTGAAGTTGATCTGCTGAAATCAGAGGCTGTCAGATGAAGATTGAAAGAGAAAAGGCAGTGACAGTTGTTTTACACAGTCCTTCAGGGCTATTACTGCAAAAGGCTTTGTCTTGGATCGACATCTGTGGACACGGCACTCCACTTTGAGCGAGTAATATTGACCGTGTAGGAGCTCTTCGTAAAAGCTGATTCTGGACAGAGAAGAATTTTTGAAAATAGAACCAAATCTTTTCTCTATAGCTGGCTTTTAGTCATAAGGATATAATACGTG